ATACCAAAGCTCACATTTCATAAATTCAGTTTCAGTACCAGACACTTCATATTCTTTTCTTCATTTGTATTTCATCAATAAATACTATGATGTCTTTATTATTTTTCTTAAATTGACTTTAAATTAATGGACTTAAAGGATTCACTACACCTTAAACATTTATGCCCATGAAGCCATGTGCTGGATGCAGCATTATTTTTTTTCTGATATACATTGAAATAAATTTTAAAAAATTTTTGTTGGGATACCACCGAAAAACAAATCACGTACCACCCCCAGTCTGGGGGGACTGGAACTATACTTTAGACTCACTTCACTTCTTCTATAAGTCTTCTCTTCTCTCTTTAGGACAAAAGAATAACATATATCATAGTGGGTGTTGCTTGAACCTGGCGAGGTGCTAGGTACATTCAGGCTTCTGTGAAGAGGAGGTCATTGAGAGGCCGTGACCAGAGGTTGACCCTCGGGCTAGACCCAAGCTATCAGAGGCTGCTCACCCCTCCCCTGTCTTGGAAATGTACATTCTGCCCATTGTTCCTGCACTTTCAAGGCTGTAGCCTTGCAAGAGTAAGTTGTTGAGACCATCCGGATGGTGCACGTGACGGAACCCCATTGAGTCCTCTATTTGAACTAGTGGGAGGGTGTGGCAATCTCCCCGCCTTGGCCTTGTCATGCCCAAGACAAGCCTTGTAGGTAAGTTCTCCTGCATGTTAAACCTGCCACCCACCACTGGGGAGCAGCCTGGCTTTCTTCTCTCTCCTTGCCCTCTGCGTTATGGGGCCAGTTTCAGATTTCACCCAGGGAGCACTTGAAGTTTTGAATCAACAGCTTCTGTTTTATCCTTTTTCCCCCTCAAGGCTAACAGTTGCTTAGAAACCTCTTTGAAACCCTAAAAGCCATCTGATGAGATTGTGAGGGCCATAGCACAAATGATCTAATTTGCTTGTAGACATTGGTTGCAGGTCCTGGTAAGCACATATCCTTTGTCATGTGGCTCTCTCCTCTAATTGTTGGGGAGTACAATTTCGGTCTCTTTGTAACATGCTCTGTCGTCTGACATAATTAAGCCTAGAGCAAATGAAAGATGCTTCTTTGGATATTAAGAGTGCCTGTGTTGTAAATAATAATGTCATCATCTCTTTCTTAGAAAGTACTTTCATTAAGAGTTGCATTTTAATTGCAACACATTTGCATGAATTCATTTGGATAGGGGTGGGGGGTGGCCTTTGATGATGATTTTTCATCTTCCATGAACTTACCAATTGTTTCAATTAGGAAGTTTACTCCCCTTCTCTCTCTACCACTGCCCTCCCCCCCCCCCGCCCCCAGGAGCCCTGGAAGATGTTCCAAACAGAGCGATGTTTCCAATAATCATGCATCTATGAGGAGGCAGTGACTATTTACTGACCGGAAAGACCCAGAGGGCATCGGCTTTTTCCCTTTGAGGAGTAAAATGAACCAAGATGATTCCTCCCACTTCGAAATAATTTTCAAATGTTTGGGAAACAGGCTCCGGCAATATTCCAGGGGCAATGGCAGCCACAATAGGCAGGACCAGAGGCAATTTGATTCGGGCAAAGCTCAAGGGATAGAAGGTTGAAAGTTTGGAATCTGGCAAATAAGCCACAAAGGGCTTCTCTCTGAAGCACAATCCTGCACTCCCTTTGTCACAAACAGGGGGCAGTCTCTGTTAATTAAAGCGGGAGCAGCAGCTACAGCCCGGCTCCTCTGAGGACCCGACTCAAATGTCCAGGCGACAGGCAATATTTTACAGTGACTGGATTTCATTACAGGTTTTTTAAAAAAATTAAATTTATAAATGCCTTAAAACCCCCAACTCTTGTGGGAAGGTGTCTAGACCTATTCTTCTACCAGGATCTTGCCCTTGGCTCTCAGCCCTGATGCGTGCTGGGAAGTGCCAGGGTGGAAATGCAGTGAGGTGGGAGGGCAGGAGACTAGAGATGAGAAGTCTGGCAGTCTGTATTCAGCCCCGGCTTTCCCATGTACTGCCCTTGTGACCTTGGACAAAGCTCTTAACCTCTCTGAGCCTCAGCTTCCTGGCCTTAGCAAGCCGGCTGGGGCAGCTCTTTCCAGTTCTGACTTAGCATGTAGAAATATGCCAACCCCTCTGCAGAGGTCATAACAGCAGAAGCTCTAGTCTGTCCCTGCCTTGGGTTCTTTTTTAAAATCCTCACTGGAGGATATGTTTTTATTTATTTTAGAGAGAGAGGAAATCGATGTGAGATACATGTATTGGTTGTCTCCCATAAGCTCCCCAACCAGGAATCAAACCCTCAACCCAGGTATGTGCCCTGACAGAGAGTCGAACCTATAACCTGTTTGAACCAACTGAGCCACCAGGCCAGGGCCTGTGTTCTTTTTTCTTGGTTTAAGACAAGGTCTTGCATGAAAGTTCTTAATTAGTTAATTATTATTATTGTTTTTTAATGCTTCCCTCTGTTCTAGACGCTGTGGGACTCTGCAAGGATCAGGGCCATTTCTGTCACGAAGTTACATTTCAATGTGGGGGTGACAGAAAAAAATAAACGCATTATCTAATGTCAGTGGATGGAGCCTGAAGGCCTATTTTGCCGTGGTCAGAACACAGGCCCCTGGGTCAAATTTCTTGGGTCAAAAGTCAATGGCACACTTCCTTGCTGAGCTACCCTGGGCAACTGGTTTAATTGCTTTGGGCCTCAGTCTCTCCCTCTGTTGTGCGGGCCTGGTAATACTACCTAATGAATAGAGTTAAATGAGATCTGTCACTCAGTGGCTCAGCAAATATTCCCAGATTGTCTGCTACATGCTAGGCACTGCTCTAAGCATCTGTGAGGAGCAAGCTTCGTGGGGATGTCGCAAGCACTGAATAAATGTCAGCTATCAATAACTCTCACACACCAGAGCTGTGTTTGTAGAGAGTCACTCAGTGGTAGTGGGTGTGGGTCCACAGACATGCCACACTGTCTTATTTTGGGGACCCGGTTATGATGAATCTGACGAATTTAGACTCACAATCTCACACCTTGTCTGGGTGTGTTTGGGACATAATACAGCCCCATAATTCAGTGCGTCTTCCAGGACTGATATACTCCTGGATATGCTCTGTCAATGGTGCCCTGGTGCATTGTTGCTGGAACAGGATCACTCTTTGCAAGTCTGAGCAGACAGTAAGTAGGTGATGTGTCTTCAAAGACACACAATTGGCTCTCATCCCCCAGAAAACTTGCAGTAGAGCCCCGATGCACCTGCTTGCTTTTCCAATTAAGGGGACCCCAGTATGTCATTTTACTGGCCCCAACTCCCCGAAAATGCTCCGAGAAGAGCTTGACTGCAGCCCAATGGAGAGGAAAGTGGTGGAAACATCTTATCACTGCAAATAGCCCCGCTGACTGCAAAGTGTATACTTAGTTAATGCAATTAAAAAACAAAACGCAGGGGCGTGTGGAAATCTAAATTTGGTGTAGCAGCTTTGGTACAAATGCTGTTTCGGGGGCTACTGGAGTCAAATTCAAGCAGAGGAGAGAAGAAGTGGGAGAAATGGGAGAGGGCTGACGATGGCTGGAATTGGCTGAGTTGAGAGAGGGCGACGCAAGGCTGGAAGCCCAGGAACAAGGCCAGCTCCGCAGCCCTGGGTGAGGATGACCGGGAGTGGGGTATGGTCGGGGCTGGGTGGGACCGGGGCCAGTGGAGTCTGGGGACCGGTGCGCGGGCTCCAGGTCCAGGAGGGAGGCGAAGATTGCGTACACAGGCCTTGCACTGCGCCAGATCTGGGCGCGCAGAGGCGGCGCCGAGGTGAGCCCTCCTGTGGAGCGCAGGGAACGCTACGAGGGGGAAGAGAGACAGCAAAGTGGCAAGTACGGGGGCCTGGGGGAGTCCCGAGGAAAGACCTTCAGAGGCATGCTATTGCTTCCGTCTTGTCGGCTGCCTCTCCTGACCCTCTGCGCCTCTTTGACTTTAGTTCAGCCCATGCCCCCCTCCGGGGTCTTACCCCGGGCCCAGGGGCTTGCCACCCCGCCTTCCCAGCTCAGCCGTGGTCCTCACCTCGGCCCAAGGAGTGGGGCCATCCCGATGGCGTGTCTGGCTGGAGCAGGAAGGGCAGAGCGGCCCCGCGCGCCTGGGAGTGGCGATCCTGATCAGACTGTCTCTGTTGGAGTGTAAGCCAGCTAGTCTGTCCCTCTCCCCTCCGAGGCACCCTTTCCCCGTTGGGCAGATTCGAGCCGCAGCTCCAGCGCCCGCATCCCAGAAAAAAGCCAGGGGCGGAGCCGCCTCTGCACCGGGAACAGGTCTGAGCCGCGCCTCCAGCCCGGAGAGGGCGCGGGAGGTCCCGCCGTCGTCCTCTACCTGCCGGGAAATCCGAGCTGTTCCTCCGGCGGCTGCGAAACTCCCTTCTACCCGCCCGCCAGCCAGGCTCGGTACTGCACGCCCCCCAACTCGCTCCCGGGCGCCCGCCCGAGTCACCTCTCCCGCGCCCCCGCCCCTCTCGAGCTCGCGCCCGCCTCCCCACCCCGCGCCTCCTCTGCCCGCCCTCCTTCCCCTCCTCCTTCTCTCCTGGCCTCCCTTCATTCCACAAGTGTCGCTTCGCTCTCTCCAGCGCACTTGGCGAGCCGAAGAGGTGAGAAGGATCCTGCGAGCGGGCGCGGGGCAGCGAGTCCAGAGTCGCCGGCCGAGGGACTGACTCTCCCCTGCGCTCCAGCCCCCGCCTCTCGCTGAAGCCAGCCGGACCTGCACCCCGCGCTTGCCCCCGCTCCTCCTCCCCCCGCCCAGCCCCGCGCGCTCCTCCCCGGCCAGCCCCTTGGCGCGCGGCGCGCTGGAGGCGAACACGGGCTGAGCCGAGCGCCGTGGCCGCCGACCACCGAGCGCCCCGTGCCGTTCCCTGCATGTGCGGCCCGCGGCGGCTCCCAGCCCCCGGCAGCAGCCTCGGCAGCTTCGGCCGCGCTTCGAGAGGCGGCTGCAGCGGCTCCAGCGGCGGCCAAACGGCCGAGCCCGGGCTGGGAGACACGATGCGCCGCGTCCTTCGGCTGCTCCTCGGCTGCTTCCTCACCGAGCTGTGCGCCCGCGTGTGCCGGGCGCAGGAGCGAGCGGGGCACGGGCAGCTGGCGCAGCTGGGTGGCGTGCTGGTGCTGACGGGGGGCAACCGCTCCGGGGCCGCCTCCGGGGAGGCCGGAGAGGGCGCGGGTGTCTCGGACGCGCCCCCGACCCGGGCGCCCACGCCGGACTTCTGCCGGGGTTACTTCGATGTCATGGGCCAGTGGGACCCGCCGTTCAACTGCAGCTCGGGCGACTTCATCTTCTGCTGCGGGACTTGTGGCTTCCGGTTCTGCTGCACGTTTAAGAAGCGGCGCCTGAACCAGAGCACCTGCACCAACTACGACACTCCGCTCTGGCTCAACACCCGGCAAACCCCCGGCGCGCAAGGACGACCCCCTGCACGACCCCACCAAGGACAAGACCA